TAATAATAATAATAATAATAATAATAATAATAATAATAATAATAATAATAATAATAATAATACCTTTAGGGCCTCCCGGTCAGAGGCCAGACACACTACAGCATCAACTGATGCTCAGAGCCACCTCAACTAGTAGCACATCGCCTGAAAGCCTCCGGAGGGGGGATAGTGCATGGACGCGAAGTCCAAACGAATGAAGTTTTGGGCCTAACCGTATCAGTTATTGGCAACAAAGAGCCTTTTCTAATTATTTTCTTACTTCGTATTATTTCGGCTATAATAGTAAATATATTATTATTCGAGAGGGAACATATATTTACTACAAGAAGGTATTTATTACAAGAAAAAAGTATAAAAAATTTATATCAGTGCAGATTGTCACAACTGCACAAAGAAATATTCACTAGCCAAAACATAAACAAAGAGTGGATGAATATTAAAATATCAATCATATAGCTAAAGGCTAGGTGAAAAACGAAGAAACGGGGTCTGAAAATTTGGAACGAAGAGATACAAAAGCCATTAAAGATACAAAAGAAAACAATAGAATCTAAAGAACTATATCAGAAAGTCAGGAATGAAACAAAAGCAATACTAAGAACAGCACATAGGACATCATGGGATATGTTTATAACATAGGTGTGGAATGGAAACAGAGTGGAACATGATGTCCATGGAAGGCAAGAAATAGCATTCAAACTAATGAAACATCTAAACAGAGAAGATAGAGATACTGTGAATACCAACATCTGACTAGATAGAACACTATAAACAATTGTGGTACAATCCAGAAATTGTGGAAATTGCTGCTAAGGTGCAATCGCTAGAAATATATTATATTGAATCGAATGAATTTTAGATTGCCCTTACAAAAAATGAAAAAATCGAAAATCTCCATGGTTTGCATGGAATAAATTCTGAAATGATAAAATATGGAGATATCCTTTTAGAATTCAGAATGTTTAATTTTTTCAACATGTGTTGGGATGAATGGACAATAGCAAAGATCACTTCGATATTTAAGAAAGGAGAAAGAGGAAATGCATCCAACTACAGAGGTATCAGTATTCTGAATTCAGCCTACAAGCTTTACAGTCAACGAAAGGCTTCAAAATATCGATGATACAATTTTAACAGAAGAACAAACAGGCTTACAGAAGGGAAGATCATGAACAGATGATGTTTTTTATTTAAAACAAATAATACAAAAGAGGAGAGAATTTAATTTAGAAACACACGTAGTCTTTGTACACTTTGAGAAAACATTTGATAGGATCGAAAGAGATAAGCTATGGCATATATCGACATATATCGAAAAAAAGAGGTTTCTCTAAACATTTTATCCAAGTCTCAAAAAGTCTGTATAATAACACCAGAATTATAACTGACGCTGGTAAAGTATTGACATATGAAATTCAGACAAATCAAGGAGTTAAACAAGGATGTAGTATGTCACCAACTCTATTCAATATGTATACAGATGATATGATTAGAGAATGAAAAGGAGACCGAACACCACCAGGAATTAAAATCGGACAAAACAGATATATTAACACCTTGCTTTTCGCTGATGATCAAATCATCATACAAGACAGCGAGGATAAATTGCAAATGACATTACACAGGCTCAACGAACTAAGTCAAACATATAACCTTAAAATATCTTTAACAAAAATCAAAACAATGGCGTTCTCAAGTATTAATCCAATAAGAACAAAAATGGCCGTAAATAACAAACCAATGGTACAGGTACATGGCACTGGGCACAATATTTCCACATATACACATATCCAGTATTTGGGCTGTGACATCTTATGAAGAAAACCAAGATATTAAGAAAAAGATTAATATATGTCAACAAATACGTGGCACAATTAAAAGAACTAAAAACAAGAGCACGAAAAGAAACGCAATTAAAATTTTATAAGGTGATGGCAGTGCCCACTATACTATATGGAGCGGAATCCTGGACTCTCGGAAACAAGTATCATAACCAGCTTGAAGCCTCAGAAATGAAATATCTTAGATCGGTTAAAGGCTGCATCAGAGAAGACAAAATCCGAAATGAACTAGGGATGCAATCAATAACCGAATTGGCGATCCACCATAAAGAAAAATGGAGAGAGCATGTCTTTCGTATGCCGCCAGAAAGGATTCCAAAACAAGCAATGGATTACAATCTATATGGCAAACGAAGTGTGGGAAGATCGAAGAAGAGATGGTGAGAGGCCTCAGGCCTAATCCTGGCAAGGCAGAAGAAGAAGAACAACAACAACAACTAAAGTTTTCCACAGAATTCTTGAGTAGCCTATTCGATTTCTTTGCTCAGAATTTGTTCTTCAATTCGATTTCTTCGCTCTTGTTTTCGTCGCTCAGATTTCAGATTTTATTTCACAATCTACAGCTTCAATAATAAACGTACAGGGCTCGTTCGAAAATAAAATGAACTTTTGCAATTTTTTTGAAATTTCAGGGATTTTAATGAAAATCGGACTTATGCCATTTGCATAAATGTACGTTGTTCTATAAAAAAAATTAAAGAACAATTTGCGGCCATTCTTAAAATATTCAAATATCCCCAAATTGAATATTCCCCAGAATTGAAATATCCGTTTCAAATTTGCAGGGTCTACAATGTTGCCAGGTCGATCGAACAATATTAGTTTTTGTGAAAGTTCTATCTAGGGTACAGGTAGAAGGAATAAAGATGGACAAAGTTTACAGATGGGCGGAAGGGCAGACCGACGTTTCGAATAAAAATCGATATTAGGGACCCCTGACACATACCATCGAAATACCTAGAGATCTTTTTTGAGGTCAATATAATACTTTCTCTTTACTGCATATGCGACAAAAAATATTCAAGTGATACGTCCAAAATAATTCAATTTTTAAATTGATAATTTCAAAGTCATTGTGAAAATATTAATAATATTAAAGAAGAAGCGGTGTAATTCTGTAATGCCTAATAATTCTCTACATCTATGTTTATTATTTTAAGTAAACAAGTATCTACCTAGTCTCTTTGGGGTGGATCACACAAAATGTACAGCATGTCTTTACTACTGCGACAGGGATAAATAAAGTTTAGAAAGAAATAGATTGATTCTGAGAACTTCCTAACAGCATTAGAAGAGAAGTGTCAGGCGGGATTCAATTCCTTTTCTCCTGACTCTCCTGTCATATCTTCCAGCTGCAGAGAAAATCCAGTGTTCAAAAAAGAGGAGTGTCTGGCAGAAGAACTTTAAAGAACTGATATTGAGAAGCTGAGAATTGGCACACAGTCCGACCAATTAAACTTTCATGGTTCTTGCAAAGTGTTTAGATAATAACCAAAAAGCTTTGTAGCATATCTGGTTTACGCATTTTTTTAAAAATGGTTAATATATGGCTCAAGATTACGCAAAAAGTACTCATATATTCAAAAATTTGTATGTGACATTATTTAAGATCTAATGTTGAAGAACAGGTTTCATAAAGGAAACAATATTATCTTCAATGAATAAAAACATGTTAAAAAGACGTTGATATACTGTGTAATATAAAATTGCCCGTTTTCACCAGAAATGATAATTAGTTAATTAATAACTTATTATTTAACTTTTGCTTCTGATGAAAGTCACAGTCACATTTTGAAACTAACTATTACTCCTATTCCACTCTAGTATAATTTATTAGTGCAGTTATTATATAGGAAAAATATTGATGCAACGATCTTAGTTACAAATTATAAATTATTTATTTCAATGAACAATTGCATATGTTCCAGTGAAGGATTTGCACATATTTTGTAAGATAATTCCATACGTAAAAAGTAATAAGAAACAGCTCACAATCAGTTATTTACACAGTCGCACATTACAGTTATGTAAACGAAACCCTTATACACTATATAAACTTAAGTTATTGGTATTTGTTCTTAAGTCCCCCTTTTATTTTTGGCATTGTGATCGATGTTTGCTTAACTTCATATAATATTGTAGCTCTGAAAAGGTCAATAAATTTTGACGAAACGTAGCAAATGCAATTAAACCGCCCAATGCCGAAAAGGCACATCTCACATTTTCACAGCTTTACAAGAGATAGAAAAACGGTTTGCATGAAGATATATTTGCAGTACCTGAACGTAATATACTACAAAAAAACCCTTTTGCACATTGAAAAATAAAGCTAAAAGAAAGGCATATCAA